ACCAAAAAAAAAAAAAGAAAGGAAACAGATGGGTTTCCAGAACATGGTTTCTATACTTCCACAAAGCTCAACTTCAGTGACTTGGTTGGCTCTATTTCCAGAACCTTCTACCTCTAGTTTGTTTGGTTTTTTTCTTTTTTTGGTACTGGGGATCGAACTCGGGTCCTTGCGCCTTACCTCTAGTTTTTTTTCTTTGCCTCAGTCAGCACTGAGAAGAGGGAGACAGGAAAGCCACCCCGAGTCACCTTCTCAGGGCTGTAGGTAGCAGGGTGGAGGCTCATGCCAGGCCTGGAACATGCTGCCAGGGTCTCTCCTGGGATGACCTTTGGTCCGCCCTTGGCAGCCACAGTGGGCTTTGTGTAGCCCTGTCCCTGGTCTCCAGGGTAAGAATGGGCTGTCAGGTACTCACTGAAGTGGTGCAGCAAATGAAAATCCATAGTTTTGAAATTTTACAAACTAAGTTCCACCCCTGAATTCCCCCGTTCTTAGCTACCATCTCGAAAAACTTATATCCGCTCCTGGAACCCCAACTTCCTCATCTTCAAGATGGGAGCCAATCCGAGAGGTAGACGTAACCCGTCCTGTGGGTCTTGGCCCTCCCGACCTTTGCCGAGTCCCTCCTGTGGATCCATGCTCCCATGCCAAACGTTTTGAACATGTATCACGTGTCCTGGACAAAACGGAAGTGGCCCCGAGAAAGGAAGGAGCTGATTTCCACTCTCTGGGCATCGAGTGCTGAAGCAGCAGGGCGAGGGCCATGTCGTCGCTGGGAGAAAGAATGCGTGCTGCCAGTGAGCGGTGCTTCTGACCTGGAAAAGCACACTCTTACCTTCTCAGTGAGGCCAAGTCCTCAGCACTCAGGCTTGGTGGTGAGGCAGTTTCTCCCTTTGCGGAAGGAAATGCTGAGAGGGCAAAGCAAGCAGCATGGGTGCTGTGGGAGCAGATCAGGTTAGAAGGCAAAGGAAAGGCCAGGCCTAGGACCTATTCAGTAGGCCATGGCCACTCTGATGACACCTCAACCCCTGCAGCTAGCTCTGTCCCTTCCCTTCCCACGCAGACTCATTTTTTGTCTGCAGAGGCCTGATCATCAGCCAGTTTTGTTCTTTGTTTTTGGTACCGGAGATCGAACTCGGGTCCTTGTGCTTGCGCAGCAGGCAGCGAAACCACTGAGCTAAATCCCCGGCCCTCATCAGCCAGTTTTAAGCAGGTGTCACCTGTCTGGAATCTGTCCTTGCCCTCCCATGGAAGTCAGAGAAGCAAGCTCTTGGGAGACCCAGCCAGCCACCCCCTCTGCCATCTTACCTCTTGTACCTTCTGGTTCCACCGCTAGGGAAAGAAGTGCCTCCCTCCCACACTCAGCTCTCCCTGGCCAGCAGGGACCTGGCCCAGACCCGCAGGCCCCTCATGCACTTAATCACAAGCACCGGCTGAGGACCCACTGGGTGCTGGGCACTGGGACGCAGCAGTGAGCTAGGCAGTGCCCTTGCCTGGGAGCTCTTGTGCCAATGAGGGGAGGCAGGCAACAGAGTTACACCAGTGATGCCAGTGGTACCGAATGTGATGGGGAAAAGGACAGGGGAGAAAGCAAAGCCCACAGCTGGAATGGTGAGGGCCTCGGGAGAGGGCAGTGTCTGAGGAGGACCTGGGAGAGGTCAGAGGCCGCTGGGAAGAGCAAGTGCAGGGGTCAGCGGTGGGAAGGGCTCCGAGGGGGAGATGGCCTGGAGTGGAGTCGGAGGAGGGCAGGCAGTAGGGGACAGCGTCTGCCATTCCCCTGTGGGACCTCAGAGCCTGTCGTGAGAACCTGGCTCTTGCTCTGAGGGAGCAGGGAGCCACCGAGGCGCCAGGGTCCCTCTGGCTGCAGGCCCGGCAGACCATGGAGGTGGGGCTGAAGGAAGAGGTGGTGGGGGCTCTCGATAGCTCAGGAAGAGCTTGGAGGGAGCAGTGGGGGTGGGCAGAGGCCAGATCTTGGGGAAGCGACACAGGACTTGACTTAAGAGAGGACGCAGGGACGACTCCGCGGGTTTCGACCTAAGAGCTGGAAAAGCAAGGAGGTTATTTACCGGGCAGGGAGGCTGCGAAGGGCACAGGGATAGGGAAGCCCGGAGCTCGACCAGCGTTCCAGCGGGGAGGCCGGATGGATCAGCAGCCCGAGACACAGGTGGAATGTCAGGCTCTCCCTCAGGCTCTTGGTGGCAGGTGACGCCCTCCCCGCCAGGACAGCCCCAGACTCCGGCAGGGCCTCGGTGAGAGGTTGCCAGTCAGTGCACCTTTTCACCAACACCGCCAGGGGGCACACCAGTGAGCGGGCAGTTCTACCGAGGGAAAGGGCCCTCTCCTGACAGCCCCTCTCACCTGCCCCAGCCCCACAGCCAGAAGAGACCCCTCCAGCCACCGAGCCCCCCCTGGAGCCCCGCCTGGGGGAGCTGACCGTGACCGAGGTGACCCCCAACTCCGTGGGCCTGGCGTGGACGGTCCCCGAGGGCGAGTTTGACTCCTTCGTGGTCCAGTACAAGGACAGGGAGGGGCAGCCCCAGGAGGTACCTGTGGCCTCAGACCAGCTCCGGGTCACTGTCCCCACCTTGGAGCCTGGGAGAAGGTACCAGATGGACCTATATGGGCTCCGTGGCCAGCACCGCGTGGGGCCCCTGTCCGTGGTGGCTGAGACAGGTGAGTGGGGAAGCGGCCCCTCCCGGCCCCCTGACCCAGCCACCCCGCAGGCCTCTCTTCCCGCTCAGTCTGCTCCTCCTCGGGCTTCGTCCCTCGGCCCAGGCCCGGGCTCTCTTTCCTCCCTCTCCTCTGCCTCCCGTCGTCATCCACCACTTCCCTGCCCTACTGTTTCAACTCTGCGGTGACCTCCGTCCAGCTGCCGCCTTCCAGGCCCTTCCAGTCTCTTCCCAGAGGTCCCCTGCCCTGCCCAGGTCCTGTTCCTCGCCACCTGCTCTTTCTTCCCTCCAGGGGGTGGCCTTCTCCTTCGCTCCTGGCTCCTTCCCGACCCCCACAACTTCTTGGACATAAGTTTTCCATGATTTCTGTGTCAGAACGTCTGATGAAACCCCCGTTCCCTCTCAGAGCAATGATTTAAGATCTAGGAAATAAAGTGTGTAAGATTACAAAGGTCGCTGATTTTACCGATGCACAGTCAGCCCTCCATGTATATCCGCAGGCTTCACAGCCAGCTGTGGATCAGAAATACTTTTAAAAAGTTAGGTCTGTACTGAACAGATACAGATTTTAGGTCTTACCATACCCCCTAAGCAGTGCAGCATAGCAGCTATTTCTTCTGCATCGCATTGGTTTAGCTGCTGTGTAGACGATTTAGGGTGTGCAGGGTGTGCAGGGTCCTACGCAGATGCTGCATCACTTTATAGAAGGGGCTTGAGTAGCCTCAGATTTTAATGTCCACAGAAGGTTCTGGAATCACTCCCTGTAGATACAGAGGGATGGGTACAATTTTTAAAATATTTCTTAGAGGGCCAGGGATGTACCTCAGCAGTGCAGCGCCTGCCTGGCGAGCACGAGGCCCCGAGTTCGATTCCCAGTATCAAAAAATAAAGCAAAATAAAAATATTTCTTAGAAACTTGAATTCGAGATTTGGTGATAGCCTTGGTAGGATATTTAAGAAGCTACCGCCTTCAAAAGTAAGGGTAGGTGTAAAAGATACTGTGAGGTTTCCGGAGCGGCTCTAAGGCGCCGTGGGAACATCCCTGCTTCCGTGGTGGCCGTCACAGAGCCCGCTACGTCTGCGGTGGCCGACTGCTCCTTCGCTCGCCTCAGGGGGTGCTGGGCTGCACGGCTGAGGCTGGGAACAGACAGCTGCTCGCCAGCTGAGCTCCTGCCTGAGCTCTCCCTCAGAGACTCAGCCCCATGCTTTGTTTTCTGGGGCCCAGATCCGCTCCCGCCAGCCCCAGTCACTGAGCCCCCGCTGCAGCCCCGCCTGGGGGAGCTGACGGTGAGGGACGTGACCCCCGACTCCGTGGGCCTCCTGTGGACGGTCCCTGAGGGTGAATTCGACTCCTTCGTGGTCCAGTACAAAGACAAGGACGGACAGCCCCAGTTGGTGCCAGTGACTGCAGGCCAGCGGGAGGTCACCGTCCCCGGCCTGGAGTCCTCGCGAAAGTACAAGTTTCTGCTGTTCGGGATCCAGGACGGGAAACGACGCAGCCCAGTCTCTGTGGAGGCAAAAACAGGTGAAGCTGAGGCCCAGCCTTCTCTGCCCTGTTCCTGTCCTCTCATCTGCTTGGTTTGAGAAGCCGCCGTGCTGCCGGGCATGGTGGCACACACTTGTAAGCATTCCGGGAGGCTGAGGCAGGAGGATTGTGAACTCAAGCTGAGCCTGGACAACTTGACAACTTGGAGACCCTCTCCCAAAATACAGAGTTTAAAAGGCTGGGGATACAGTTCAGTGCAAAACCCTGGCTGGCTTTAACCCCCGGTGCCAGGAAAGAAAAGCCACACTGCTTGCTCTATTTCAAAGGAGGCCAGGAGGAGGACATTTCTTGACTGCTTTCCTGTTTTCTCATTTCTACTGTTGAGCAAGGAGGATGGACGGCTGGGGACTGGGGCTGCTGGGCCAGAGTGAAGGAGGCCAAGGAGCTCCTCCTGCCTCCCTGGGCTGTGGGTCCGAGGCCTCTGAGTGTTTTGCCCTCTCCCTGAACTCCCACCCCTCTGACCTGCATCTGCCTCCCGTGAGGCTCCGCTTCCTCCGTTGCCCTCCAGGAGCCTCAGGAACTGGGAGCCAGGGGAGCCCAGTCTAGCTGTAGCAGCTTTTGGGGCTTGGCCCAGGCCCTGGGGCTTCCAGTTGCCAGAAACCTCTCATGACGGTGCCGTCAGTGCCTCCGCTGTCCTGGAAGGCAGCCAGCCCGCTCCTTCCCAGCTCCGGGCCGCTCCTACGGCAGACGGGCCTGGGAGCCTCGGCCCCCACCGAGCTGGTGCAGAGGCCACCTGCTGCCAGCCCCTCCAGAGCCAGCGCCCCTCTGGTGTGCTCTGGGGCCGGGGGTCACACAGAGTGGGCTCCAGGGCACAGGGAATGGAGGGGACTTGGCCCCTGACAGGTGGGAAGAGAAGGGGCAGGGAGGGTGGGGGCCTCTTTTCCCAGGGGTGACTCGGGCAGAAGACCCCTCCGCAGCAGGGGCGCGGAGCAGTTTGAGAGGGCCACAAGGACGGGAGCGCAATGGAAAATTTGGGAAGCACTGGCCACTTGGGCGTTTGGGGTTTTTCCAACCCTAGCAGGAGGCAGTGAAAAAAAAAATTGGAAAAAAATGAACAGGAACTTCTCCTCTCTGTCAGCCCTCCGAGGGGACCCCAGCCCCGAGGCTCCACCCCGCCTCGGGGAGCTGTGGGTGACGGACCCCACCCCGGATTCCCTGCGCCTCTCCTGGACCGTCCCCGAGGGCCGCTTCGACTCCTTCGTGGTCCAGTTCAAGAGCAAGGACGGGCCCCAGGCAGTGCCCGTGGAGGGCCACGTGCGCTCGGTCACCGTGTCCCCTCTGGACGCCGGCCGCAAGTACAGATTCCTCCTCTACGGCCTCCTGGGCCGGAAGCGCCTCGGGCCCCTGGCAGCGGACGGTGCCACGGGTGAGGGTCCACCGGGCGGCGCTTGTGGAGCTGTCTGTCCCGCTGCTGGCTCCCCACACCCCACTCCATGCCTCCCTGCCCTGGCCTCCCAGAAACCCCAGTCCTTTCTCCCCTATCCCCAGAGCCCCTGAGTGCCATGGACCCGCCTAGGGAACAGCGTCCCCCGAAGCCCCAGCTCGGGGAGGAGCTGCAGGTGACCGGAGTGACCCCCGACTCCGTGGGGCTCGCGTGGACGGTCCCCCAGGGCCAGTTCGACTCCTTCGTGGTGCAGTACAGGGACAGCGCCGGGCAGCCCCGCGTGGTCCCCGTGGATGGCAGCCTCAGGGAGGTCCGCATCTTGGGCCTGGACCCCGCACGCAGGTACAAGCTGCTGCTCTACGGGCTGCTCCACAGCAAGCGCGTGGGTCCCCTCTCTGCCATCGCCATGACTGGTGAGTGCCACTGTGGCCTGGACACCGGGCCCCTTCTCGCCTGGCTATCTGTCATCTCAGTGTCATTTGGGGGAAGGGACACACTTGACTGAGGCATAATTTACACCCAGTACCAATGACTGTGGGTAAACGTCCGAGAGAAAACACAGTTGCCACAAGGGAGACAAAACCATTGCCGTGGACCCACAAGGTTTCCCTGTGCTCCTTTGCACCCAGTTCCCCAACCCCAGCCCCGCACAACCACCCAGCTGCTTTTGGCTTTGCCTCTTTTGCACCTCGTTAACACAGTCGCGGGATACACCGCATTTGCTGTGTGGACCCTTACACTTTGCATGATGCTTTCAAGTGTCCCCGCCCCCAGCATTGGTTGAGACGCACAGCAGTCACCATCACTTCCTGTCTCTTGAGCCAGCCCCAGGGGAGGACACTGAAGCCGAGCCAGAGGCCCCGGGCCCCGTGCCCACCGAGCCTCGCCTAGGGGAGCTGACGGTGGAGGAGGCCACGCCGCACAGCCTGCGTCTTTCCTGGGAGGTGGCAGAGGGAGAACTTGATGCCTTTGAGGTCCAGTACACAGACAGAGATGGGCAACCCCACGTGGTCAACATAGAGGGTCACCAGCAGGACGTCACCCTCGCTGGCCTGGAGTCCGAACACAGATACCTGGTGACCCTGTACGGTTTCCATGACGGGCAGCGTGTGGGTCCAGTCCACATCGAGGCCCTGACTCGTGAGTGAGAGGAACTCAGCCACTCTGCTTCCTGCCACATGGCTGGGAGAGCCCGGAGGACGGTGGGTGCCATGGACACAGCCGCCCCTCAGGCCCTTCTCTTTCCGTGTTCAGTGCAACAGGAGGAGGAGGAGCCCAGAGAGCCCCCCACCACCCCCGAGCCTGCCCCAAAGCCACGCCTGGGGGAGCTGACCGTGACCGACACCACCCCGGACTCCCTGAGCCTCTCCTGGACGGTCCCCGAGGGACAGTTTGACCACTTCCTGGTCCAGTACAGGGACGGGGACGGGCAGCCCAAGGTGGTCCA